AGGGTTGATTCTGAGGCAGGAGTGCTGCCATTCTATGAATCTGCTGTGTGTCCTGCTTCCCCCGCAGGATCATTCTCTCCCTTTTAATTCTATCTTTCATTATTTGCTTACACTGGTCTTATTTGTGTAATCTCTTCGACACTTACCCTATCTTTTTGATCGGTTGTGTATTTATACTTATCACTTTACCAAGTGCGCTGGCATTGGTACCTGCCTCCTTGGTAAGATTGAGTTGAAATCCCCTGGCACATTTCCAGTTCCACCATTGGAGGTAAGTCCGAGTGATCTCCTTGCTCCTCAAAATAAACAAGGGCAGGTCCAATGCCCGGTGTCATCAGTGCCTGTCAGAATTGTGCGTGTGGTGGCCTGGCTGGGGTTGCTCAGGGAAGGCAGGGTTAGAACTCAGGTGTGCGATGCGGGATCTTTCCCCACGGCGCAGCACAGTTGTCGCCCTGCAGATGTAAGAGGGAGGCTGCTTGCTGCAGCGGCAGGTGGGTGGAACCCTGACCCGGGGGTCTGCTCAGCACTGAACAGTGAAATCCCAGGAGCGGAGGCTGGGAGGGGGCCCACTGTAGCTTCTGAGAGTGAATGCGAGGGAGACGGGGTGGGGGGGGCTCGCGGACGGACACCGACGTCCCTGCTGCGGGGTCACACCGACACCGCGGGGACGGCCGTGACTGATCCAAACAGGCCCGGCGCGCGTTCCGGCGGAAGCTCCTCTCAGTAAACTCGCCCGCTCCACGTTTGCCTCCTGTGCTTGCTCTTTATTTCACAAGAAAATGCGTTTTATTGGTTTTGTAAAAAGCACATAAACCTGAAAAGAAATTCAACTAATAGAGAAATGAAATAGTTCAAAAGCCCATTTGGTTACGAATAACCTTATTTTTTGATTTGTGTTATTTTAGAGGTTTTAACACAGATTTTTCAGATAGGACAGGCAGTGACAATTTAGAAAAGTAATATCCTATGACACACACTAGTTAAAACAAAGCACAGCAAGTAAAGGTTTCTTTATCTTTCATTCGGTTTTGCAACATGAAATTCAGTAATTTTTTTCTTCCAAATGTAACATATTTTCTTTCCAAAGAGATCCTCCCACAGTTAAGAAAATGGATTTGGAAAAACGGAGGGGTGAAGGTGTGTGTGCATGGCGCTTGGTGCCTGTGTGCATGTGTGCATGGTGGTGTCTGTGTGTGTGCCAGTCTGTGGTTTCCTTTGTGTGTGGTGTGTGTAAAAATGACTCTGGGGCTGGAATTCCTGAATTCTTACATCGGGTGAGAATAACGTACTTTCAAGAAGAAATTTTCAAACTTTCTTTCCTTCGAAAATCTGCCAACATGGAAATTTCTTCCTGATTATCAATTTCCAGGAATCCTGAATTTTTTGTTCTGTGTGATTGGCTTCATTCATGTGAATGTACAATGTTTAAATGCACTTACTGTTCAGAGATGTCATCAGTGCGTCTCAGTGCTGCTCATTCTGTGGGAGGTGAGCTGTGTCGTGTTTCAGGAGGTTTCTTCCGCTCCTCGCTGATCTGAAGTTGTTATTTGAAGGGACCATGGGATTTTGTACATTTTTCCCCTTTAACTTGAGGTTGCCTTACCTTGATGGGGTCCTGAAGGAACTCTTCCTTCCTGTAGTGGTACAGTTCATGGTCATGTTTGTTTTGGTGCGTTCCTGAATTTACTAATGCTTTATTCTAAATTGATGTGTGTAGATATTCATGAATGATATTTGCATATATTGATCAACATTAGTATTAAGGTAATATTTGAATTAATTGTCTTTTTTGCTCTAATCTGAAGCTTTTAAAAAATTTAAGTGTTTTGGGAGCGACCTGTTTCATGAACTTCTGCTTTGACGTGGCAGATGGTGGCCGTGCAGCTCACCTGACTGGTGTATGTTGTCCTTCAGCATCTGCCTGCTGTACTGACGTGCTCACGTGGCCATTCTCTCTTGCGTGTCAGTGGACACAGATACACGTGTGTTCATGTGGAATGGCCGCTGGATGGGTTTCTCAATTGCCTTATGAGTATATTGCTGTGGCTTAATTTCCCATAGGACCTGGTACCTGCAAGATTCTTTAGGGTAACTTTGATTTTATTTCTTTACAATTTCCACTGGATGGATGTGATTTATGAAATATTCCTTTTTACAGACAACATCCGGACTTGGCCTATGCTGTTGCAGACGAGGACTGCTCTGTGTTAGTGTCTTGGATCAGCCTGAGAAGCAAAGCGAATTGCCTTTGTCTGCAGACCAGGTCTGGGTCCTGGCCAGTTTCCATGTCTTGCTCCATCTCGGAGTCCGGAACGTGGACACCTCTGTCTGGACACTGGACTTGTCCAGACAGCTCAGGCCAAGGGATGCATTCGAGTTTATGAGAGACATGTTCTGCACAGTCCCTGCCTGTGGAGAGGTCTTGCCTACGTGGGGTTACTCCTTCACCAATGCAGCCGACTGGTCAAGGGCAGCCGCGTGCCACGCACTGCTCGGAGCAGCCGTCGGCGCTGCGCTCCTGCAGACGGTGCTGCAGGGAAGGGTCCAGGGCACACAAGAGAGCTCATGGGTGCTGGCAGGGGGAGGAAGAGGGCCACAGGGTGCTTGGGGGGGGTCTCTGCAGAGGGGGCACGTGAGCTGGGCTGCGAGTCAGGAGGGGTGAGTCGGTGCTGGGCAGCTGAGTGCAGGATGCAGTGGTGGAGGGGAGAGCGAGAGTGAGCCTGGGGTCCTTGACTGAGAGCACAGCAGGCAGGGCACAGGGAGCACGGGGAGGGGGCTGGTGTGTGACTACCACCGTGGGAGGACTGGCAGAGAATTTCCCATCAGCCCCTTCCCTTGCACCCCCAAAACTTGGGGGCTGTGCCATGTGCCTGCAGAAGTACCTGCAATTGTTGCACTCTCTGCTTTATCAGTTTAGTTTGAATGTTCGAAGACCTGAATTTGCGCTGATACTCGGCTAAGAGAATTCAGGGAAGATTTTGAAAGGTGGTGGTGTCGGTGCCACGTGAGGGGGAGCAGAGATGCCAGCAGGAGGCTAGGTCGGAGGAGGATCCGTCTGACCGCAGCACCGACGTTGGGTCACAGTATTCCCGAGGGTGAACGCGGCCGACAACGGTGTGTTTGTGTAGACTTCAGCCCTCTCAGACAGAGGAGGAGAGAGCAGCTGGGAACGCCTGATACGTTATGGTGCTGACACAATCGTGATGCCAGTGACCTCAGCTTGCTCGTTTTACAGCAACGGCAGCAGTGACATCTGCAATGAGTGTGCTTAGAACTTGGCGTTCAGCTGATGAGGCTGGGTGTGATGTGGGGATTTTCTGGAACGGCAGAATGGGCTGAACTTGGCTCCAGTGTTCAATATCTGGGTGCCCTTGGATGTTCATTCTCCAATTAGAGAAAAACAGTTGTCATTCGTTAGATGGAAATATGCATAATGCCTTCTCTTGGACCAACCGTCGTTAGCTGTTAGCGAAGGTCACATGTGGGATCTCATTGCATAACCTCTGCATATCCTGTAAGATGGGGGAGCTAGCCTCTCTCGCTTCAGGAGGAGGAATTCAGGAATACATTGGCTTGTTGACTTTACCAAAGTCAAAGGCAGCGTGAGACACAAGGCTTACTGCGTGTACTCAGCAAGGTCAAATGCCAGCATTGAAACTAAGTTTTCACTTAATTCTCTCTCTCTCTCTTAAAGATTTATTTATTTATTTGAAAGGCAGAGTTACACACAGAAAGAAGGAGAGGCAGAGAGAGAGAGGAGAGGTCTTCATCCATTAGTTCACTCCCCAGTCGGCCACAACGGCCGGAGCTACGCAGATCCGAAGCCAGGAGCCAGGAGCTTCCTCTGGGTCTCCCACATGGGTGCAGGGGCCCGAGCACTTGGGCCATCTTCTAACTGCTTTCCCAGGCCATAGCAGAGAGCTGGATTGGAAGTGGAGCAACTGGGACTTGAACTGGTGCCCATATGAGATGCCAACATTGCAGGCGGTGGCTTTACCTGCTGTGCCACAGCGCCGGCCCCTCACTTAATTCTCTTAATTGATGGGACAATCCAGGTAAGAAGTGGACCTGTTTGCTCATTTTAGCCTTGATAAACAAAACTCAAACAGCGCCGTCAGGGAGTTACTATCCCTCGGGCACTTACCCCATTCAGAGATTGAGTCTTTCCTGTCTTAACAATTCATCAGGTGGGAAATGATGGTTCTCAAGTCTGCGGACATCCAGGCTTTGTGTGTCTCCTTGTTGTTTCATTGGGGAACTCGATTTCCCAGTGTGGGAGCCCCACTTTCTGAAGTCAGTGACCTCGCGTGGGCCTCTGAGAAGCGTGCCCAGGCTGCACTGCATGGCTGCTGGGTGCTAGAACCTGGCTTGCCCTCAGCACCTCCCACTCTGCCTGGCTTTGGTTCCCAGCCTTGGCCTGTGTTACCAGTGCATTCATAATTGTCCCAGTGCTCCATCACCATGACTCAGCCATGACTCAGCCGTGACTCAGCCGTGACTCAGCTGTGACTCAGCCGTGACTCACCTATGACTCACCTATGACTCAGCTACGATCAGCCATGACTCACCTATGACTCACCTATGACTCAGCCATGACTCTCCTATGACTCAGCCATGACTCAGCTATGATCAGCCATGACTCACCTATGACTCACCTGTGACTCAGCCATGACTCTCCTACGACTCAGCCATGACTCAGTTATGGCTCAACCATGAATCACCCGTGACTTACCCACAAATCAACCATTACTCACCCGTGACTCCCCTCTGACTCAGCCGTGACTCAGCTATGATCAGCCATGACTCAGCTACGATCAGCCATGACTCACCTATGACTCACCTGTGACTCAGCCATGACTCTCCTACGACTCAGCCATGACTCAGCCATGACTCAGCCATGACTCAGCCATGACTCACCTATGACTCAGCTGTGACTCAGTTGTGACTCAGCCATGACTCAGCCATGACTCAGCCATGTCTCACCTATGACTCAGCCATGACTCAGCTATGATTCAGCCATAACTCAGCCATGACTCAGCCATAACTCAGCTATGACTCAGCCGTGGCTCAGCTGTGACTCAGCCATGACTCAGCCGTGACTCAGCTGTGACTCACCTATGACTCTCCTATGACTCAGCCATGACTCAGTTATGACTCAGCCATGACTCAGCTGTGACTCACCTATGACTCAGCCATGACTCAGCCGTGTCTCACCTATGACTCAGCTGTGACTCAGCCATGACTCAGCCGTGACTCAGCTGTGACTCAGCCGTGACTCACCTATGACTCAGCTATGACTCAGTTGTGACTCAGCTGTGACTCAGCCATGACTCAGCCATGACTCAGCTGTTACTCAGCCGTGACTCACCTATGACTCAGCACTTCTGCCACCTCCACACTCCCTCCTTCCCTGCCCTCAGCTCTGAGGGTACACCTGTTTCGGTGATTGGGTCAAGCGAGCAGGAATCCTCAGCACAGCTAGTCATTCAGGCATGGAGCATGCATGTGTTCTGCACACCTCGAGTACTGGGTACTGTTTAGTGGTGCGTGGTCTCTGCCCTCCTGGAGCCCCTAGGCAGGAAGCAAACACAGAGGTCACGCTTAGAATTACAGAGCATGTGAGCGGCGGGGAAGGACTGCTCCCCAGGGCATAGCCAGGCCGTGGCCCTGCACTGGGGCAGGACAGGACTTGGCCCAGGATAAGGACAGAGGCCACCACGGGTGCTGAGGTGAACAGAGGAGAGAGCTGTGTTCTCTAGACTGACCCCTCACCCGTGCCTCCTTGCTGTCTGACCAGAGTCAGTGAGCAAGGCGGTGCCGGCGACTTCTTGCGTGCCCTCGCTTCTCGCTGAGGCTGCACGGTCTCCTAGCCTCGTCGCCTAAGGGCTGTGTCTCCCTGCTTTGTTCCTCAGCTCCCCTGCTGCGTTCTCCCGCGGGACTGGTGGCTTTGCCCAGGCCGATCGCTCAGCTCCACCCTCTTCCGCACTTTTCTGGCCGTGGCCTTGCTTTTCTGGACATTTCTCATGTCTGAAGGGCTACACAAAATGCGTGGAAACTGGAACTAAAAGATGAGCTTGTTTCATTGCAAAACTTTGAGATTCATGATTTTTTTTCCAGAATACTCATTTTCCGCAGACTTCTAAAATGTATTTATTTGTTTGAAAAGCAGAGCAATAGAGAAAGAGGGAAACACAGAGATATCTTCCATCCATCCACCTCCCAAACGGACGTCTGTGCTTGGCCAGGAACTCCGTCCTGGTCTCCCACGTGGGTGCGGAGCTCAGCACATCAGCTGTCTCCCCAGGCACCTTAGCAGGAAGCCGGATCTGAAACAGAGTGACCGAGTCTCAAGGCTGGCACTCTGATGTGTGATGCTGGCTTTGCAGGCGTGGCTTAACCTGCTGTGCCACAGCGCCGGCCCCTCCACAGGCCTCTTAAAGACCCCTCGTGTTTGTGTCTTTCCTCCTGGGCTCGGAAGCTTCGTGGCTAGTGCACATGGCCGGGGTGCGTGGGAGCAACACTCTTCTCTACCCTGCTCCAAGGTTGCGTCTTGGGGTCAGGACCCTGATGGTAACCTGGCCCTTGATTCCCAAGCTTGCTCGCTTGCTCTCTCTCCCCCTCTGTCTCAACCAGTGGCAAGTTACGAGCCACACTGAGCCTCAGTGTCTGATGTATAGAACAGGGTAATCCAAGCACCTTGTGAGGTTTCTGAAATTATTACACCAGAAAAAGTCTGTTATGTGTTTAGTAACCACCTGGTACATAATATGCATGTGTTAAACGTTAACTGTTTTTGTTATTGGAAAATTGAATCTAAGAAAAGTTCAGCGATCTGAGCTGTTACTGCTACTTTTTGTTCTTGTTTTCTGTGGAAGGTGGAGGCGGAGCGAGCTCCCACCTGCTGGGCTGCTGCCCGGATGCCTGCAGTAGCTGGGGCCGGGCCGGCTGCAGCCAGGAGCCTGGAGCTCCCACCAGGTCTCCCATCTGGGCGGCAGGGACGCAGACTCTTGAGTCATCACGTGACCTGTGCCAGGGTGCACACCGGCAGGACCGGGAGCTGGAGCAGGACCAGGATTGAGCTCGTTCTGATGTGGGCCGTGGGCCTCATGGGCACCCCGGGGCGGCCTCTCAGCTGCTAGGCCCACGCCTGCCTCTGTAGCTCTAATACTTTATATACGCATGTTCAAGCAAGTAGTGATTTTTCAAGATTTGTCATTTATATGTAATATTCTGATCTCTAAATTCTTTGCTAAACCAGGTACTTTTTTTTTTTAAAGATTTATTTATTTTTTTGAAAGAGTTACACAGAGAGAGAAGGAGAGGCAGAGAGAGAGAGAGGTCTTCCATCCGCTCGTTCACTCCCCAATAGGCTGCCATGGCTGGAGCTGTACCAATCTGAAGTCAGGAGCCAGGAGCCAGGAGCTTTCTCAGGGTCTCCCACTTGGGTGCAGGGGCCCAAGGACTTGGGCCATCTTCTACTGCTTTCCCAGGCCACAGCAGAGAGCTGGATCGGAAGTGGAGCAGCCAGGACTAGAACCAGCGCCCATATGGGATGCTGGCACTATAAGCAGCAGCTTTACCTGCTATGCCACAACCAGGTACTTTTAAAAACATATTTCCTTACTGTAATTTTAGGTTACTATCTTACACAATCCTTGTTGTAATCTGCGTACAGATGATGATTTATACTGTTGTTATTTTAGATGACTGGTTTACATGTTGTCCACTCGGACCTATGTTGGTGCGTATTTTGCGAGTGTCAGCTTGATGTACTGAAAATCCAAGACTTTGCCGGAGACTCAGCACCCAGGACAGAGCACTGCCCTGGAGCAGGGGCAGGTTCAGGGGCAGGGATACTTCCGAGCTGAGGAGCTCAGGGTCAGCCAGTGTTTCCTCTTTATATCAGGAAGCTGCAGCAGGCGGGCAGGGTCCCTGGCAACCCTGGGGTTTGTTTCCTGCTCTTCCCAGGGACCTCCCAGGACTCCTGGAAGTTCAGAGTGGCTGCACAAACCTTCCTCAAACCTTTCTGTATCTCCCACTGACGCCCACACAGCCTCCTGGCGTCAAGCAGCCTGTGCTCCCTCAGCCTCCTGGCATCCGGTCTCTGACTCGCATCTCCTGACAAGCCGCAGGCCTGCCAGTCAGCACCAGCAGTTCAGAGATCTCATTTGCATCTGAATGCAGCCCTTGTGGGGAGTCTGCAGATCCTGCTCCCTCCCACGCACCGGAAGAGCCATTCATCCAGGTGGACCAGTTCTCCAATCAGTCTCAACCCCTGAGTTGTATCATCATTGTTTTTCTGGTTAAATCAGTAGCTTGGTGGAACATTTTGTTTTTCTATCCTGTGGGCTCAATCTTCTGAGGACATTTGGATTTATGCCTCCTGAACTCTCATCTACAGATGTGATTGCCGGAGGAGGCTGCCTGGCTTGTTGCCTGCAGCCGCAGCACCGGGAGTGGCTGCTGTCTGCTCTGAGCAGCCACAGGAGAGGAGAGAACCCAGGAGACTCCGGGTCTCGGCCGAAAGGAAGCAGGCCCTTCCCAGGCCTTCCCTTATAGCAGCCTCGGCTCAGCACGGTCCTGTTGTGAAGGTAGTTCCTCCTCCCAGGAGGTTAGGGGACACATCCTGCACCCAGGGCTGCACTGTCTTCTCGGGCGTGTGTGAGACGTTGCCGCCATCACTCTCCTTACGTGCAGGGCTGGGCACTGAACAGCAGCAGCAGAGGTGATGCTGCCTGAGCCTTCCAGGCCTGTGGTAGGAAGTACAAGAGGACGAGAAGACAAGACGTGGAGTCTCTTCTTGCACAGGTCACCAGAAACTGCCTGACCCTGGGCAGAACGTGAATCCCGGGTTTCCCACCTGTATGAGATTCCGGATCCAAGAATTCCATGATTGTCAGGACAGCATGAGAGTCGTGTTTGCTCTCCAGCTACTTCACAGAGGACCCCTCTGTGACTTTATGACGACCTCATCTGGGGCCGGGGCTGTGGCGAAGCTGGTAGAGCCACTGCCTGCGTCGCTGGCATCCCATATGGGTGCAGGTTTGAGTCCCAGCTGCTCCACTTCCGATCCAGCTCCCTGCTGCTGGCCTGGGAGGGTAGCAGCAGATGGCCCAGGTCTTGGGACCCAGCACTCATGTGGGAGACCTAGAAGAAACGCCTGGCTCTTGGTTTTGGTCTGGCCCAGCTCCATCCATTGTGGCATTTGGGGAGTGAATTTTCTTATGGAAGATTCTCCCTCCCTCCCTCCCTCCTTTCTTCCTTCTCTCTCTCTCTCTCTCTCTCTCTCTCTCTCCCCACCACTCTCTGTAGCTCTGACTTCCAAATACATAAATGTTTTTAAAAAAGATGGTCTCATTTATCTATGTTCAGGTAACGATGCCTTTCTATAGATACAAGGATATTTTAGAATGTTCATGTATTAAGAAGGAATGACATGATTTAAGAGTTTTTTTGCATTAAAATAAACTTTCAATTCCATTTTCTACTAAACTATCATTGTATATCAAGAAAGCTTTATCAAGACATATAAAATGATTATTAATTATATCCACCATTCTCATACGTTCCTTATCTGTCTCTGATAAACTCAAAAGGTTGGAAAACAGAAGTGTTGTGAATTTAAAATTATCTTTGTCAATCCAGTACTGTTAATGGAACACTCTTATCTCCCCTCACATGTCGTGCGTGTGGGGATGTGGCACAGCCCTGGGGAGCTGAGATTTCGCCCGTGTTGCAGGAAAGCCTCTGTCAGAGAGCTGATGCACACAGGCAGTTCTCGCTGTCTACCAACGCGGGCTTTTCTGTCTGTAAAAATAACTACGCCAAACCTCTGGTTTAAGTGCGCATCCCAGGATGACCGGCTTGCTTCTAACATCTGATCTGAACATCTGCAGGCACCTAAAGCCTGGGTCTTGCTGCAGGTGACCCAGGGCTCTGGGAGCAGCAGTCGCTATGGGGACAGGAAGTCCCAGCACCCTGGGGCGCTCTGCACAGTGTCCAGGCAAGAGCGTGTGGACAAGCCCCCCACTCAGTGACTGTCTACACTGCCTTTGCTCTGCCTTTCGGTGCGTATTTGGGAAGATACAAGCTGACTGCTCTGCCACAGTTATGGAAACAGGCCTGGCCACCAGCCCCTGGGTCTCTCCCAGAGTTAGGGGCAACATCTCCCATGGCTTCACCTGCTGGTCTTACTGGCCCCAGCTCCTCCCTCCAGGTTCTCACACTTGCACACCTACGGACATCACTGAATTTGGACAGACAGAGTTCCGGTGGATGCCTGAGTCCAGCCGTGGCCAGAGCTTCTGGGTGCATGCCCTGGGGCACCGTGACACGCAGCAGAGCTGAGGACAGTGACGTCGGAGGGAGCTCTTTGTGTGCAGGTCACTTTGATGATGTCATAGTGGCTTCTCAAAGCCAGCAGCTCCAGCATCACCTGGGAAGCTGTCAGAGGGCAGATGGTGGTGACTAAGGCGGCAGGGAGCTGAGAGCCTGGCTTCTCTTTGACACGCGCATTTCAGCTCCTTGGCTGCGCACCCAGTGCTGGGATTGCAGGATCCCACGGCAGTTCTATTTCTAGTTTCCGGAGGAACCTCCACGCTGGCTTCCACAATGACTGCGCTACTTTACCTTCCCACCAGCCGGCTGCAAGGGCTCTCTCCTCCACGTCCTCCAGCTCGCTCTCCTCCATGTCCTCTCCAATCGTTACCTTTCTTGTTTTGATGAAAGCCGTTGTTAGTGTTATGGGTGTGCAATGGTGTCTCCCTGTAGCTTTGATTTGCATTTCCCTGATAATCAGGGAGGTTGAGCATTTTTTCACAGAACTACTGACTTTTCTATGTCTTCTCTTGGATAATCCATTTTTAACTGGATTATTTGTTTCCTTGCTATTGAGCTATTTGACTTCCTTACGTATTTTGGGTGTTAGCGCTTGTACGACGTTCGGCTTCTCAGCGTTTTCTCCCCCGTTGAGGACTTTCCCTTTACTCTGTTGATTGTTTCCTTTGTAGTGCAGAAGCTACATAGTTTGGCCCGGACCCATTTGTCTATTTCTGCTATTTGGTGCCTATGCTTTGGGGGTCCTGTACGGGAAATCTTTGCACACAGCGATGTCCTAGCACTTTCTCCAGTGTTTTCTTCTAGTATTTTACAGTTCCTGGTCGTATGTTCTAAGTTGTTCATTCACTTTGAGTAGGTTTTGCATATGGGGTGAGATAGGGTGTGTTTCCGTTCTTCGGCATGTGGATATCCAGTTTTCGTAACACCGTATATCGAAGAGGCTGTTCTTTCCCAGTAAGATGATCTTGACACGTTTGTCGAAGATGAGCTGACTGTGGAGTTAGGGAGGCTGGTGTCGTAGTGCAGCGGACGACGCTGCTGCTTGTGCCGCCAGCATACCGTATTGGATGCTGGTTCAAGTCCTGGCTGCTCTGCTTCCAATCCGGCTCCCTGGTAACGAGCTTGGGAAGGGAGTGGACAATGGCCCAAGTGCTGGGGCACCTGCCACCCATGTAGGGGACACGGATGGATTTCCTGGCTCCTGGCTTGGGCTTGGCCCACATCGGGCATGTGCAGCCACTGGGGGGAGTGAACTGATGAATGGAGTATCTCTCTTCCTCTTTCTCTGTCTCTCCCACTTTCTCTGTTGCTTCAAATAAATGAACACACAAATCTTTCTAAAATCATGTGGGTTTATTTCTGGGCTGTTCACTCTATTCTACTGGTTTATATGAAGGGACTTCAAAAAGTTCATGGAAAATGGAATTAAATGATGACTTTATTTTGGTGCACACATTTTGAAATCCGTTCATAGTTTTTTGTAGTACACATGTCCCATGAATGTTTTGAGGACTCCTTGTGTCTGCTTTTGTCCCACTGCCATCCTTTTCGATTACTACAGAGTTCTAGTAATTTTGAGGTCAGATAGCATGATGCTGCCAACTGTGACCTTTTTGCTCAACATTGCTTTGGCTACTCAGGGTCTTCTGTGGTATCCTAAGAATTTTAGGATTGCTTTTTCTATTTCTGTGACAAACTTCATTGGAATTTTGATAGGGATTGCTTCAACTCTGTAGCTTGCTTTGGGTTGGATTCATAGTAGCCAAGAGATGTAATCAACTGGAGTGTAGGACACTGAAATGTAGGACAGTGTATGGACACAGTGGAACGCCACTCAGCCGTAAGAAGGATCCGCTGTCATTCGCAGCAACAGGGATGCGACCTGGAAGGGGTGTGTAATGAAGCAAGCCGGGCGGACACACAGTGCATAGCGTCACCCACGTAGAGTCTAAAAATGTTGAACTCATAGAAGCAGAGAGTAGAAGGGCAGTTACTGGGGATTGGAGGGGGTAGAGGAGGGAGTGGGGATGAGGAGGTTAAAGCCTCCTGAGTTTCGGCTAAGCCAGAGGAGTGAGGAGCGCTCACCAATGCAGCACATGGTGCTGTGACTGATGATAGTATGTGGGACATTGGAAAAGCACGGACAGCGTGTTTTACATTTTAGGTATTTAAGTGAGAGGCACACAGAGAGAGAAGCAGAGACAGACAGGTCTACCCACTGGGTTCCTCCCCGAATGCCTGCCATGGCCAGGGCTGGGCTGAGCTGAAGCCAGGAGCCAGGAGCCAGGAGCCAGGAGCCAGGAGCCAGGAGCCAGGAGCCAGGAGCCAGTCCAGGTGTCCTTATGAGTGGCAGTGACTCCAGGCATTGGTGCAGAACACCAGCAGGAGCTGGAACCAGAGCAGATGCAGGACTCAATATGGGATGCAGGCATTCCAACCAGCAGCTGAACCAGTGCACCAAAAGCCCACCCTTAAGAGGGCAGATGTTGAATGTTCTCATCACGAAAATGTTAAGTATGCGAGGTGACGGACAGGTCCACTAGCTTGATTTAATCATCCCACGTTGTATGCATGTCTTAAAATGTCACATCAGACACTTGACATGAAATTTGTCTTGTGTCAGTTGCATACAGATTTTTTTTTTTTTTTTTGACAGGCAGAGTGGACAGTGAGAGAGAGAGACAGAGAGAAAGGTCTTCCTTTGCCGTTGGTTCACCCTCCAATGGCCGCCGCGGCCAGCGCACTGCGGCCGGCGCACTGCGCTGATCCGATGGCAGGAGCCAGGTGCTTTTCCTGTTCTCCCATGCGGGTGCAGGGCCCAAGCACCTGGGCCATCCTCCACTGCACTCCCTGGCCACAGCAGAGAGCTGGCCTGGAAGAGGGGCAACCGGGACAGAATCCGGCGCCCCGACCGGGACTAGAACCCGGTGTGCCGGCGCCGCTAGGCGGAGGATTAGCCTAGTGAGCCGCGGCGCCGGCCAAGTTGCATACAGATTTTAAAAAGAGATTCTAATCATGGAGCTCAACGCAGACCTATGAAGCCAGAATTTCTGGGCTTGAGTCACAGCCATCTTTGTTTCCCCAAGTCCTCCGGGGAGAACCACGGACCCTTGGGCAGGCCCCAGTGTGGGAGCCCGGGAACAAGAATCTCCCTTCTGAGCACTGCCGCTCTCTCCTGTCTTTACCCCTGCACAACACTGGGCAGCAGCCATTTGCATAGCATTTGCGTTGGATCAGGTACTATCAGTCCTCAGAGATGGTCTGAGGAATGTGGGGACAGGGGACAGGGTCTGTGCCAAGACGACTCACTGCTGTCTGTGGATTTGGCATCTGGGGGATCCTGGAGTCAGCCCCACGGGTACTGAGGGGTGACGACAGCATGTCATGTGTGATGTGATGTGACTTCTCTAGTGCTTGACCTGGGAAGATTGCTGTCAACGATGAATGCTTGACAGTGCACTGAGCTGCAGGGGAATGAACTCACGGGGGCTCAGCAGGCTGCCGAGTATGCGAGAGGCGTGGAAGTGACTTTGTTCTGCTTCTTGTAGCAGAGAACGTGCAACCCTGTCTCTCTCTCTCTCTTTTGACAGGTAGAGTTACAGACAGAGAGAAAGATCTTCCTTCCGTTGGTTCACTCCCCAAGTGGCTGCTACGGTTGGTGCTGCGCTGATCCAAAGCCTGGAGCCAGGTGCTTCTCCTGGTCTCCCATGAGGTGCAGGGCCCAAGCACTTGGGCCATCCTCCACTGCACTCCTGGGCCACAGCAGAGAGCTGAACTGGAAGAGGGGCAACCAGGACTAGGACCCGGTGCCCATATGGGATGCCGGCCCCGCAGGCGGAGGATTAACCAAGTGAGCCACGGCGCTGGCCCCGCAACCCTATCTCTTAAGCTTTGTGTAGCAGTCCCTAGCCCCAGGATTACTGTTCTGGTCTAGGGTCACTACCCCATGCCACAGTTTCTCCCACATTTTATCAGTTCTGTCTCCTTAAGAAGTATCTTCATTCTCGGTTACCCAATACTCTACTTAATGTTTGGCTGCATTACAGTACCTACTAAGTTACTAAGCAAATGTAATGGTAACAGCTACCATTGTTAGTTAAGAGCCTGTGCCAGGTTAGATGTTTAATGTTTATTAATCTTAAAATTGACCTTCAGGTTACCTTAGTCCACCTTAGAGCTCACGGCCCTGAAGCTGGGAGATTTTCAGTCACTGTTCAAGCCGAGTGGCAGGTGCTGGACTGAAAGCCAGGTGCTGAGGCTTCTCCCCTTGTTGGAGGGCATCTCTGAGAGTTCCTGATGCGTCTCTATGCCCTTGTGTGTCAAAGTTGGACAGTGCGATTGTCAGCATTTTCCATGCCTTAATGATCCCCGAGTTCTATGGATTCTAAGATTCACCTAAATATTGGAAGGAACTTGACTTCTGGGCATCCATACCCCTGATTTAAATACCCTGGACCTGGTGGGCAGCTTTTAAAGGAAGAAAGGCCTTAGCCACATGTGAATGTGTACATACATGTGTGTACGTACGAATCTAGATGTAAAGGCGTCCTCTTTCGTGATCCCAGATTTTAGAAACTGTGAGATCTAAAAACCCCAGAAATGTGCTGTTAGCAATTGTTTGCTTTGAAAATACAGGGTTTTGATGTTTGCCATTGCAAACATTAGTGACCATCCTAAACAGCAGGCTACACAGATGTGCCAACAGTCATTGTCATCTCTGTTACTGGTGACTTTCTTTCCTAAGGGCCGATGTTGGAATACTCTAATTTAAAAGTATATTTCTTCCCAAAAATCACTATGCAGCAGATCTCGATTTTCCTAGAATTCTGTTGAGTTTACCTTGATGGAAGCAGGCAAAGCATCCTGCCAAGCAAAGACCTGATCTTTTGTTTTGAGAAGTCGGTGAGGAAAGCCAAGCTCAATCAGGAAAAACTTCTGTCACCAGTGAAGGGCAAATCCTGTTTGGGAAGCAAGTATTTGGCGATGACGCCCACGCGTGCTGGGGCCTGATAAGAGGGCTCCTTCAGGTTTTTAATTGAAATGCGACTCCTGCAAGCAAATGGCAGAAATTGCCTCTGATTTCCAGATAAGTGCACCACTCCAATGCCACTGAAAGCTGCTAAGAGACGTTTCTAGAAAAGGGGTTTAGAAGCCTGCT